GTCCAGTGAAAGGAGCTGCTTTAACTTCTCCCTCCCAAGGAGTTTCAGAGACAGATCTGTTCTTCTGTGTTCAATACAAAATGATCTGACCACAAATCCCTCAGTTCCGTCTCTATGAATATACCCACTTCAAATGTGAAATTCTATCCACCAGTAAAGTCATGAAATTTCTTGCCTAAATTCTATTAATTAAAATGAGATGTGGTAACATTCATTTTGTCCTATTTTATTTGCTTCAGAGTTCAACACTCTCTAGCTATGAGTAGGAAGCTCTAATATGGTTCTTGGGAAGTGACACTTTTAAAAAAGCACATTGGTTTTCATGTTAATAAATAATACTTTGAAAATGTAACACACATAATTGTTAATACATTATTATATAACATATTACCAGTGACATTTTCCACCAAACTGGAACAAAATAACACTAAAGTTTGTATGGAACCACAAAAGACCCCAAATAGCCAGAGCAATCTTGAGCAAGAACTTGAGCCAGAGCAATCTTGAGCAAGAAAGCTAGGAATGCCACAGTCCAAGATTTCAAGATGGACTAAACACTGCAGTAATCACAACAGTATGGTACTGTCACAAAAACAGACACACAGATCAAAGGAACAAAACAGAGAACCCAAAAATAAACCCACACTTATATGGGCAATTAATCAACGACAATAGAGGCAAGAATATACAAGGGGAAAAAGAGTCTTCAACAAATGGTGCTGGAAAAACTGGACAGCTGTGAGCAAAAGAATGAAACTGGGCCACTTTCTTAACCATACACAAAAAGAAACTCAAAGTGGATTAAAAACCTTAAAGTGAGATCTGAAATAACACAACTCCTAGAAAAAAATATAGGAGTAATCTCTTTGATATTGGCTTTAGCAACATTTTTCTAGATAGATCTCCTCAGGCAAAGGAAAGCAAAAATAAACTGTTGGAACTATATTAAAGTACAAAGCTTTTGCACAACAAAGGAAACCATCAACAAAACGAAAAAAAACAACCTATTGAATGGGAGAATATATTTGCAAATGACATATCCAATAAGGGGTTAATATCCAAAATACAGAACTTGTGCAACTCAAAACTCCCCCCCCCAAAAAAAAACCCCACAAAATACTAAATAACCCAATTAAGTAATGGGGAGAGGACCTGAATATATTTTTCCAAAGACATAGAAATGGCCAATAGACACATGAAAAGTTGCTCAACACTACTAATCATCAGGGAATGCATATCAAACCCACAAAAAGATATTGCCTTAGACCTGTCAAAATGGCTAGCATCAAAAAGACAAGAAATTCCAAGGGGTGGTTAGGATGGGGAGAAAAAGAAACCTTCACACACTATTGGTAGGAATATGAATTGATGCAGCCACTGTGGAAAACAACATGGACGTTCCTCAAAAAAAAAAAACAAAAAAAAAAAATTAAAAATAGAAATACTATATGATCCAGTAATTCTACTACTAGGTAACCCAAAGAAAACAAAACACAATTCAAAAAGATACATGCACCCCTATGTTTACTGCAGTATTAAAATAGCCAAGACATGAATATAACCCAAAAGATAAATGTATAAAGAAAACGTGAGTTAACACACACACACACAATGGAATATGACTCAGTCATAAAAAAAATAATGAAGTCTTGACATTTGTGATGACCTAGAAGGTATCATACTAAAAGAAATGTCAAATGGGAAAGAACAAATGCTGTATGATTTCAGTTATATGTAGAATCTAAAAAACAAAACAAATGAACAAGCAGACAAAAACCATTTATTTGTTCTTAAATACAAAGAACAAACATGACTTGCCAAAAGGGAGGTGGTTGGGGGCAATGGGTAAAATAAAGTGGATTGAAAGGTACAAACTTCCAATTATAAAATAAATAGTTCACAGAGATTGAAAGTAGAGTATAGAGAATATAGGCAACAATATTGGAATAACATTGTGACAGACGGTGATTATACTTATCATGATGAGCACTGAGTAATGTATAGAACTGTTGAATCAATACGTTGTATACCTGAAACTAATATAACATTGTATCTTAATTTTACTTCAATTAAAAAAAGCATAATACATTATGGATGTGTCAGTGTGAAAAATGAGTATTAAAATGGATAGAAAATTGCCATCTAATTATACTATCAAGTTACTACTTATTAGAGTTACATTGATATCAGTGGATACAGGGGTTCATTTCATGTCACCTGTTTCAGCTCCTGTGAGTGAACGAGAATCACTGTAGTGTTTTTTTCTTCATATTACTTCAATTACTTCACTCACGGGGAAAGCCTTAGACATTTGACTTTGGCATGAAAATACAGGAGAATTAGTAACAAGATAGGACAGCTCATAAGATGGTGCTAAAATATAGATCAGAAATATCTCAGCCTATCAATGATAAAACACTATGAAGTATTTAAAACCAGGGGAAGATAGAAATTGCAGAATTAGTTCAGCAAAAATGCAGTCATCTTATACTTACTGAAGCTACATTCACGAAATCGTCATCTGAGAGGGTTTCCAACATTTCGGAGACAGATGTGCGGATCAATTTAAGTGTCAACCCACTAACACTTCCACTCCTATAAAGAAATGGGTGTGTGCATGTTAATGACCACATATTTAAGCAACACCAGACATCCCGAGGAAAGGAGACTTTTGCACTAACTCTAGGTCACCTATATAATATTTAAATTATTTTGCCTTTAAAAATTCGTACTAATGAAAGTCACCTTTTTGATAGAGTAGAAATAAATTATAAAAAAATTTTGTCTTTCTTTCCCGTCAGCATCAGAACATATATGTTTGTAACTACAATGCTAAAAATTGTACGTCCAGGGACAATTTTAGAAAACAAGGGATACTCATAGAACATTTACTTATTCAGGAAAAACATACTACCAGCTCTGTTATCCAAGTTAGAAGGGGTTTCATCTTTTATTTTTCTTGTCAGTACACATTCTATGATTCTAGGTGATCTCATCTAATTGTAAGACTCATCTCTAGGCAACTAACTCTTACTTCTACATGTCTAGAGCCCTGGTTTTCCCCACTTTTAGACCTCCGGCTGTTTATTAAACAACTACAGATTCTATGTTCAAAAAGGCAAATTACACCCAGACATACTTTTTTCCTATTAATGTTCTTGGTACCAACCAGGCTGCATTTCAGTCATCCAATTTCCTCCTCTCTTTCAACCCTCCTTTTTCATTCCACTTCACAGTTGCCATGGAAGTGGCTTCCTCTCCATCTTCTCTCCACTCAGCCTCAAGTGCTTCTTACCAGAAGCCCCTGAGCTTGGATAACAGCCACTCTATCCAGCTTAGTCTCTTCTCCTCCCCATGCAATTCTGGCAATATACCTCTACCTAATACTGTTAATAGCTCATAGTTAACTAGTAACTACTCAACAGTCACGTAGCCCTGCATTCAAAAACTTTCACAATCTTTCTCTCTTTCTTCCATCGGCTCAAAAGAGTTCCCCCAGATGTTCTCACCTAGGCCACTTTGCTCATGTCAATTGTTTTACTAGAAATTCCATTCTCTTTCCTCTCCTCTCTGATGCCTACCTAATGAAATCTTAGCTCTAAACATTCTAATTTCATCTCCACAATGAAGTCTTCCCTGACACTTTAAATCACTTTAAATCAAAGTGTTCTTTCCTATGGACTTCTAGTGCTGTGTCATACTTTGTATCTATTACTTTCTACAATTATTTTAGTTACTTGGGAATAGGGTTTAGTTTCACTAATACACTTGAAGTATCTTTGAGAGACACCTTCATCATATTTGTCTCTATATTATCACATTATATACAGGAGACCTTCCATACCTGTCTGTTGAAATAGTCCTTAAAAATGGTATTTCAACTTCATATGTATTTTTAATTTTGGGATATGCATGTAGGTTCTAAAGATTTTAATATGAAAAATTATTTCTGAAGATTATCATATATCCAATAAGATTAAAATATATTGAATTAGCATTTAGATTTATACTTAGGAAGAATATCAGGATTACCATATGATATAAACTGCATAATAATTTAATTAAAATAAGTTCTGATTTAAATATATCATAAGAAATGAAATGAGAATTGACATGTTAGTTACATTTACTAAATTCATTTCACCTTCTCTTTCTCAGGATAGGTGATAGGGTTTTAACTTGTTTACTTCAGATCATTTTTTAAAATGGTTTTAAAATATTGATACTAGCTTGTAATATGCATTTAGATGCCTACAAAACCTTGGATTCTTTTTTTTCCAGTGTGGCAAAGAACATAAGAAGATACAACTTTTACTCAAGGATAAAAAGCATTTTATACCTCATGTTTTTAATTTCTTGGCATTGCCCTTAAAAACTAAATATTTGGGGCACCTAAGTGGCTCAGTTGGTTAAGCATCCAACTCTTGGTTTCCGCTCAAGCCACAATTTCACAGTTCATGGGTTCAAGCCCTGTGACAGGCTCCGTGCTGTCAGTGTGGATTCTCTTGGCGTTCTCTCTCTCCCACTTTCTCTGCTCCCCCCCTCCACTTCAAAATAAATAAACTTAAAAACAATAAAAATTTTCAACGTTCCACAATTTTATCTTAAATCTTATTAGAAGATTACACACACAAAGCCCTTAACTTGAAGCAGTGAAAAAAATAAATAAAATGATCAATATAAACACTCCTGGAATTCTTTCCTGTATATCAGCATTCCCCTTGAAAAAGTCACAGTATTGGTGCTTAATACATTTAATATTTATCTATTTTGTGTCCAAATCCCTACAAGTTATTTGAATTATTAATGACTAAGTGTCAACTAAATGGTTCTATTTTGTGTGTGTGTGTGTGTGTGTGTGTGTGTGTGTGTGTGTGTGTAGCAGGAACTGCTAAGTTTTAGCAACCACATACTTTAAAACTTTTTAAGAGGGGCGCCTGGGTGGCGCAGTCGGTTAAGCGTCCGACTTCAGCCAGGTCACGATCTCGCGGTCCGGGAGTTCGAGCCCCGCGTCAGGCTCTGGGCTGATGGCTCAGAGCCTGGAGCCTGTTTCCGATTCTGTGTCTCCCTCTCTCTCTGCCCCTCCCCCGTTCATGCTCTGTCTCTCTCTGTCCCAAAAACAAATAAAAACGTTGGAAAAAAAATTTTTTTAAAAAAAAACTTTTTAAGATACAACGCAAAAAATTGGAAGAAAATGAATAATTTTTCAAAAAGCTCAGGCTTGAGGACTATGCCATAATTTTCAATTCCAATATAGATGCTCCCTATTTTCAATAGGAGAATATTTATTTTGTTACTGTCTTAATGTGGCTTCTTTATCTGGATATAAAAGTCATCCTAATTGTTCTTCATCATTTTTTTGACCCAACCCATTTCTCAGTACCAACATGCTACTGTTATCTACAGATCCTCCCTATATTTTCAGTATATAAATATAAAATGTTTCACTACTCACACATCAACCAGAATAAGCATGTCTTTAGGTGATGCAGCTCCTTGGATGTACCTGAAACAAATACCATAGGAATATTTTCTTCTCTTGAAAAATATTAAATATTAATATGCTTTGATTTGATAGTTACTGATTTCTTAGTTGTGCTGGTTTCCAAGCAAGGCCCTACTTCCATTCTATATGAGTAGACAATGTGCTTCCATTCACAATTCTACAATGTCGACTTTATAAAAGCTATATTTAACATAATAGAGATGTCAGAAGCATAATATTTAAAGTATGTTTTACAGACAGAACAAAAGATAAAGTGATGCGTTCTAATATCAGAAACAAAATAAATAAACTCTTGGATGTGAAAAACCTCTATCTATGCCTCCTAAATTCCATTTTGTTGGCCATGAGTTTGAAAACTCACTCTAAGGAATAAGGTTACATCTTATTTTCAATGCAAAAAATAAACACAGAAATAGCTAAGTGTTCTAGGAATACAAAAGAAGCAACTATCAACAGAAAATAAATACAAAGTAATTCAAGACAGAGTAACATATAATACCATTACCAAGAATTTCAAGTGGTGGCTCTCAAATTTTACAGTGTCTAAGAATCACCTGGAGAGCTAGTTCAAAATGCTGATTCTCACAATGAACCTGAGCCCTACAAATTCACAAGGTCTGCATATTAAAGCAAGTCTAGGAGAGATCTATTCAAAGAGTTCAGTGACTGCAGAGGAATTAACTTAACTGCAAGCAGATGATGTCCAAAGATTATGCTGTCTGGCCCCAGAATGATGAGGAGGGAGAAGAGGACCTGACTTACCAAATAGGAACAGCTGAACCTGAACTCAACTTTTTAGTTACCTCTAAGGCCTCTATGCCCATGACTAAATGTAACTTCTCAGAAGCCTGCTGAAAAACCTGCCAATTCGTTTTCAGAGAACATCCAACATTCAAGACTATGTGTTCATGAAACAGTTTATAACATGTACTCCAGTCTGTTTCTCTGCAAGAAGGTAAAGGGAACAGGTCTGCCAGGATATTCCAAAGAAAGGCAAATCTAATTCATGTCTAGCATTTTAAACAGTCCTGGCATGCTTCTCATGGGAAGATGAGAAAACAGGATATTGTCTGCCTTTTCAGGTTGGCACCTTGCTTCTAAGTCTCCCCACAAAACAACAGGTTGCTGAACCCACTCTATGTGATGTCATAGTCTCGGCTTCCCTTCAACAACCCATAGATCCACAGCCACCACACCTGGAGAAATATTAACAGGAATATTCTATGGATTAATGATAATATCTGGTACTATTACAAATGGTAGGCCTTCATGTAAATTGCTACTGGGATGTTTAACAGGACATTTTAAAAGTCTTAAATGAATTTCTTTGAATCAACCATTGTGCATCTTGGAATTTGTTTAAATGCTAGAAAGAAGTTAGCAATAATCTAAATAACCAATAATAGAGGATTTTTAACAATGTTAAGCATGTCTCTTATGTGTAAGCACTTATAGGTATTGATATGAAAGAGTAGATTACGATGCAATATATTGTATAAAATGTGAACTCACAAAAAAAGATATGTCCACACATTAAATAACACTTTTAAAAAATAGAAATAAAATGCACAAGTTTAATAGTTGTTTCCCAGGGAATGCAATTATGAGTTATTGGGTATTTTTTGAGATACACGTTAGGAGAATGAGTTGGTTTAGTGAGGAACAAAAAAGGCTTCCTTTTGTGAAAATGAAACCTAAGCTATGTGACCATAACTAGGGGCAGCTTTTACCTTGGGACCAGTTCTCATTAGTTCACTGCCAGAGGCAATCTACCTTCTACTCTATCTAGATACTTCGTTAGAGCTCTACTCCAAGTAAGCTGAGTGCTTTTCAATAGAAAATCCCCACCAGCTAAAAGAGATTGAGAGACGACATTGAATGTAAAACTTAAAACTAGTCCATTTGAAATCATTTAAACACTTTTCATTATTGTTGCTCATTTGAACTCATCTTCATTGAGCTTTCACTGTATTTACTTATTAGAAGAGAAAAAAAAAAAATACACCAGAGCTCTGTAAAACAATTAGACAATATTCATTCATTTTAAAACGGAAAGATTCAACTTTTTCACATGCAACAAGTGTAACCTTCTTTTGTCTAGGTCATCTTTCCATGACTACCTAAAAATCCTTACCATGGTCTTCTGCGTACATCATAAAGATCAATCTTGTTTGGAGTTCTACTGTTATCAACCCATGGAGAAGCTAAAAGAGAGAAATTAAATTAAAAATAGAAAAATTAAATCAAAATATTAGCTATCATCTAAAAGATATTTTGAAAAGTCGCAAAACACCTTTCACACTGTCCACTCTTAAATGTTATGAGCAATGTTAAAATGAGAGATACAATCCTTATGCCCTTAATCTTTTTTAAAATGGAAAACAACACAGCAATATTAAAGTTAACATGTCAATTTTCCTTTTTCACATTATTTCATAAATAACTTGTAGACAAAGGGATTTCCTGGATGTAACTTACAAGTTTACCATGTGTCCAGAGGTTATACATTTTATTTCTCCTCTACTAACACAAAAATTTACCTTAAAAGAAAAATTACTTGCCACAGATGGAACTGTACTTCCAATTATTTGATCTTTATATTTTCATTCAATGCTATACTATCTTGATCTATAAAAGATAGTTGTTTTTCCTGGATTGTTATTTATATAATAGCGTAATTTTTTAAATATATTTTTGATGTTTATTTTATTTTATTTTTTTTAATTTTTTTTTCAACGTTTATTTATTTTTGTGACAGAGAGAGACAGAGCATGAACGGGGGAGGGGCAGAGAGAGAGGGAGACACAGAATCGGAAACAGGCTCCAGGCTCTGAGCCATCAGCCCAGAGCCTGACGCGGGGCTCGAACTCCCGGACCGCGAGATCGTGACCTGGCTGAAGTCGGACGCTCAACCGACTGCGCCACCCAGGCGCCCCAATGTTTATTTTATTTTTGAGAGAGAGATAGAGAGAGAGAGTGAGTAAACATGAGCGGGACAGAGGCAGAGATAGGGGGAGACACAAAATCTGAAGGTTCCAGGCTCTAAGCTGTCAGCACAAAGCCCAACACGGAGTTCGAACTCACAAGATCATGACCTGGATTGAAGTCAGACACTTAACCAACTGAGCCACCCAGGCACCCCAAGAGCATAAATTTTTAACCTTATTACTCACATATTTGATAATGGCCAGAATGTTTGAGATTATAATTAAAAGGTTAAATGAGAATTAAAATAAATCCATGAAAAACTATTTTCCTTAAATTTATTTGATTGATTCAGGTAAAATTCAAGAATCTTCTGCTAGTTTCGGAGACTTTACCATTTTGCAGCTGTCAGAAGAAAAAGAAACATTGTCTAACTGCATTGATTTTTTACCTATAATTAATTTACACTTACTCTAAGTCTGTACTTTAATTAAACTTAAATGCTTTACACACACACACAACTTAGACCTAATGGAGAATAATAAACGCTAATAAATCAGATGACAATTTTATGCTGAAGAGGTCCTCTCCTTGAACACATGACTCTTATGAAAATTTCTACTGTACATGACTATGCCCTCGAATCTATTTTGCCCTCATCTTTATTTAAAACTATGGAAATTATGACAAACTTGACTGTGAATCAGGTTTATTAGCCAAACAAGATAATATGGCCAATCAGGATATGTCAAAAAAAAACAAAACAAGACAAACAAAAAAACATACTTCTGAGTCTCTCCTTGACTAAGAAATTTCTTTCTCCTGGGCGACTATATTAGAAAATGACTTCTATCAATCAGTTTAAATATAGCACCACTCTAACAACCATTTACAATGTAGTCAATGCAACTGAAATGATAAGTTTACTTTCATTCCTGCAATCTGCACTTGCAAAAACTTAAAGCCACTGAGATCACATTTCACTTTGTTTTTCTTTTTGTGGTAGCACTGGAATAAAGCAATAAGCATGCTGGGAGACATGCCAGTTCATTTTCAAGTATTCCTGTATAATATGTGACTCCCCAAGCTGAGGGTCATCGTGGTAACTACAAATTTAAATGAATGATATCCTTTCAGTACAATGCTGTGCTGGTTATACATTTATTGCCTCTCAGATTTAAATTCACCCATTTATCTTACTCTATAAAACCGGATCTGGGCTCTTTAAATATTTTTCTTTTATCAATGAACTCAATTTTAAGCTTTGTCAGCAGAAGATGAAAGAGAGACACTCAATGAGAAAGGGGATTTTGCTTCCTGCTGCTGATTTGTTTCCTCAAAGGCTCTTGGGACCTATGAAGCTCTCCTGATTTCTGGCTCCTGCATGTTCTCCAGCAAACAAGTGGCCAGCAGCACCCCCTGACGATTTCTGTAATGGAGTGCCTTCGATGACACATTTAGAACCATACAGGGTGAATTATCAGCAAACCATTCCAGCGTGACACTGTAGCAACTTTTCGGTCATTTGGTGGGCAGTGACTATGTCTTCTATAAGAAGATCTGGATCTCGGTCCAGAGTCACCCGAGACTGAGGTTGCTTCCTTGGGCTTTCTATCCCAAACCTAGGGGTAGCTGTTCTTACGTATTACATTAAGTAATACTATACCTGGTATTCCTGTATTATTCAGAGTAATCTCTACTTCTAGCTAATCCCCTATGACTCCAATCCCTGTTATAAGTAACAATTCTTAAAAAAATAAATAAATAACTTAAAAAAAAACCCAAAACTAACTTTCCCATTCAAAATACTGTTTTCTCTCTCCTGATTGGATTCTGCCTGTTACAAATGATTGGGTGAGAAAACAGAAGGGAGAAAAGGCCACAACAACCACCATGAGTTGGAAGTGGTTAAATAATGAATTTGATAAGTGACTTAATGAAACGGTATTTGAAAGTCAGGTGTAACTTCGACTTCTGAATTCTTTGCCGATGACATCTAGAATTTCTGCTTTCACTGTAACTGCTAATTGAAATTAACTGTGATATGTAGTACAATGCTCCATAAAATTGAGATTTTTCTTTAAAGACAGATAAAAGGTTTGCAATTTACAGTATGAGCCAGCCCATTACATTTTAATATGGTCTATATTTAAAAATATTAATAGTATTCTCTTACAAGTCTTCTGAGATATTTACTAGTAGGAAATAACCCTTTATTATACCAAATTAGGATATTTATATTATGGTAAAATTAAACATCGTGCTTTGTTCTGTGATATTACTAATTAATTCGTTGTAAAATCCATTGTGGCATTTAAGTGGTACATTATTTATAGAGGCTTAGAATTATGGAAGGTCAAATAGTAAAAAGGATAATAACCATATACTGAAATTCCCGGAAATAATCAGTTTCTTAACGATGCATAATGAAAGCCACCTGTTTTGAGAGGAAATTGGAGCTTCTAAAGTCCCTGTAAAAAACACAATGGTATTCATTTTAGATGTCTCTCTTGCTTTCCACTAAAATTTTGGGAAGACAGGAGAAAGGAGTCGAGTCCAAAAAGGGGACATTTTCCTGAATGTCGTCATTAATGGTGTTAATAGCCACTTATGAGAATGTTTTCTCCAATCAAAAATGAACTAGGGGATGTCTTTGACAAATCTACTAGACTACAATTCCATTTCACATGATATTTAGAGTGTGCCATGCTGGTTACTGAATCACTGATTTTATTTTATTTTTTTTTTATTTTTTTTTTTAAATTTTTTTTTCAACGTTTATTTATTTTTGGGACAGAGAGAGACAGAGCATGAACGGGCGAGGGGCAGAGAGAGAGGGAGACACAGAATCAGAAACAGAAACAGGCTCCAGGCTCTGAGCCATCAGCCCAGAGCCCGACGCGGGGCTCGAACTCACGGAGTGCGAGATCGTGACCTGGCTGAAGTCGGACGCTTAACCGACTGCGCCACCCAGGCGCCCCTGAATCACTGATTTTAAAAGGTATTTAAGCGTACAATTACTCAGAATACTGAAATAAGTCTTAGAGAAATATTCCTGAGAAAGTAGAGCCAGTTTCTAGTTAATACACTCCAAAAATAATATGAGAGTGTGGTTTTTCATTTCAGCTGCTAGGAAATAATATAGCCCATAATGATGAATTGAGGGCTAATTCTCTTGGTAGATACACCATTTCAAATGATAGCTAATTGGATTTCCAATTAACAAGTTCAGATGCATTTTTCCAATTCTAACAGATGTCACATTTTCGATCACATGAAATGACAAAAGTAAACTTCACATACTCAAAAATACCTTTAAACCCACCCTGGTCCTACTGGCCGGATCTAGTTGGTATTATGTGGATCATTATTTTAAGCTTGCCTTAATCACCTTTTATGGATTACTCGCAATGGCTCTAACTTGTAAACTATGATAACAAATTTGGACTGTTTTTAAGCCAGAATTAATTCAGCAAGAGGGAGCTGTGTAGCTCGCAAAATTTCCAAGAATCTGAATGTTGCTGCCCAAATACTACTGTCTTAGAAGGAATCTCCACATTCCCTAATTCATATCATGACTCTCACATCAAAATCCAGGATGAGTCTCATTAGCAGAGTGAGGGTTACTGACCCACACAGAGATGCCAGAGAATCTAGAAAGGCAAATAGCTGGCCTTTCCAGATTCTGAGTTATGAGACGTGCTCTGCTCTCCAGTAAAACTTATAATCTAGGAAATACCCAAAATATGGAAAAAGGATTCTCTCTCACTTACGGTAACACAAAATAACTTAATGAACATTTCAAATCTTCTGCTTATCGGCACAGTTTATTTCCACTCACGTAACAGTCTAAGTAAAATATTACTAGCCTCAGAGGCAGAGATTCCACTTCAAGATGGTATTCAATGACCTATAGCTGGGGATGCTTTTGCCTTCTTGAGCATTTGGTTTCCAAGTCACTTAGGAACCATGGAGAAGGCATGCTCAAGTCACAATTTCAGGCTGTGACTTTCACTCATGTACTGCTGGTGCCGCACAGATACAGAGGAGGTCTGACAAGTAGACTCTCTGGGCAGGCACCCATTTCCAAAAGCAAAATTTCACAATGCAACGCAGGTACCTAACTCTGGTAGGTGGCTGGCGGCCTTGGCCTTTGGTACAGATGGACGACTAAATCAGGAGTAACATCAAGCTTTCTGTTTTCAGCAATGTTTCAAATAAGCCACCTTTAAAATGAGACACAGGAGGAAGGGCTAAATTCAGAACCCCATAAATACAT